GTCTTGGTGGTCTGTGCTGTTCTTAGCCAGGTCTGAGCCAAGCCCTTGCGATGGATGACCATCCTAACCTTGCTGCCACTGGCCTGGTCCAGGTGGGCTTGGCATGCTGCCGTATAGCACTGCTGGCATGGTCCAAACGCACCCCCCTCTCCTCATGGCTTTTCCACACTTCCCCTGTCCCAGTGGGCAGCCTGGTTTAAGAACTGTTAGGAAATAACACCTGTTGAATTTGGTTTCTTTGCAGTTAAGCCATTGGCATTTGCATCTTGAGAAGGCACGAGCCATTTTAAAAAATGGTTTTCCTTTATAGTTCGCTTTTCTCAGTGGGCCTCAAGGCAGATTACAAGTATGGTAGAACTATTCAGTTAGTTGGTAAGCTGACTACAAAATATAATATTTGAAAGGTAACAGTGTTTGAGTCCCAACAGCATAAACCCCTAGTAAAACAATACAGTGGAGCTGGGATTGAAGGATAGGGAGAAAAAACACAGTATCTCCTAACTGTGGTCACCTCCCAGGCCAGTCCATTACACCATAGCTCTGATTCTCTGCAAGAATGCCCTTCTGAACAATTCTATTTTGCACATTTTGCAAAAAAAAAAACACGATAGAAGCATGGGGGGGACCTTCCTAATAGCTTCAGGCAGACTGTTCCATAAGGTGAGTCACCACAGAGAATGTGCAAGAACAGGCAGTTGCTGATTTGACCTGTTTGCAGGGTGGCACCTTCAGAAGGCTTTGCTCTGATCTGCAAGCACTGGCACATGAGAACTTTTGTAAGTTTCCTTTGTGAATTCTTTGTGATACGTTTTAAAGAGGCAGATAGCAGCATTAACAAAAGTGAGACTTGGACCATCACACTGGCAAATCACAGCAGACATTAACTGGTAGTGCTGGTTTTGTAAAAAAGGCAAACTCCATTCTGGGGATAGTCAGGAAGGGAACTGAAACTAAAACACCCGATATTGTAATGCCCTTGCATAGAGCTGCGTTGTGGCCTCATTTGGAATACCGTGTGCCATTCTGCTCTCCATATCTCAAATAGGATATTGCAGAGCTGGGGAAAGTACAGAAGACAACCGAGATGGGTGATTGGAGCACTAATTTTTTTTAATCTACAACAAACAAATCTACACACTACAAACAGACACTCTACTACACATAACATATATACCAAGAGTGCAGTTACATTATATGCTTATATGCAATTACTTAATAAAAACTCTATATCAAATACTTTCCATTCTTCTCTCTTCTGTGTTCTCAAGTCCATTGTGCTATCCTTGCCTAGTCTTCTATTACATTTGCATTATACCAATCATAAATCTTTTTCCATGTTTTTTGAAATGTCCACTCTGTACTTAATCTCATTTCTAGAGTCAGTTTATCATTTTCTGCTTCTTCAAAAAGTTTGTTCACAAACTCCTGTTTCGTTGGTATCACCATAGTTTTCCAATATTTGGCATATAAGATTCTTGCAGCTGTCGTCATATAAACAGTCAAATACCTATTCTCTTTTTCATAATCCTTTGGAGCACCTTTCCTATGAGGAAATTGTGAAGAGTCTGGGAATTTTCAGTCTAGAAAAAAGGTAGCTAAGGATGGGCATGATGGAGGATTGTATGAATATCTAGAGAGCCCCCCCCCCAATCCCATAATATTAGAACTCAAGGGCATCCAATGAAGTTGATGGGCAATAGACTCAGGATGAATAAAAGGAAATAATACTTTAGTCAATGAGAAATCAAATCGTATAATTCACTGACAGTGGATGTAGTGACGGCCACGAGTGTAGGTGGTTTAAAAGGGAGTTAAATAGATTCATGGAGCAGAGGTCTATCGATGGCCACCAGCCGTGGTGAGGAAAGGGAACTTTCATATACAGAAGCAGCAAACCTATGAAAGCCACTACTAGGATTCCGCCTCAGGGGAAAGTCTTGGCTTCTGTGACCTGTTTCTTGGCCCTCCATGGCAACTGGCTAGTCACTGTATTAAACAGGATGCTAGACTAGGTGGACCATCGGTCTGGTCTGTCAGGCTGTTTTTATATTCTCAAGTGTTATGGACCTTTTTTGTGTCACTCGCAGAGAAAGCAGAACCACATGATTTCTGTGCTGCAGGGCTTTAGTGGTATTAGCTTGGGAATTTTTGCCTGCTTTTCCAAAAACTCATGCGTATAGACCGAGATGAACCTTTCTAATTGCCTTACAGTATTGTTTTGCAAAAGCTGCATAGAGCTTTAAGAAAAAAAAACCCTGGCTAATGAGATTAGACACAAACTGTAGTCTGGAACTGTAGATTAAGCAAGTTAGGCACAAAAAACAAGCCCCCAATATCAGTAATGGGCACAGGGCAACATTTGCCTCTATGCAGCTGCCGATGCGTCCATTGATGGGAAGGAAATATGGGCTTGTGGCTTGTGTGTGCAATGGTGGTGGTGGAGCTACAATTTTCATTTTATTTTATGTTTCATTTTGTGAAAGCTGCATAATGCACAGTGTTTTTTCTTGCTAGAAACTACCCCTCCAGCTTTTGGGTCCAGATTTTTGCTTTTATTATAAAAGTCTGTTTTATACATGCAGAATGAGTTTCGTAGTTGGAGAGGATGTCATAAAAATAGAAATATTTATGTAGAAAGCAACATCCACACACTGGATCGTCACTCTTTGAGTGGCTTGAGTTTGAGTTGGCAGAAATAAGGAACTAGGTCAATGTTTCCTTGCAAAGGGTACCGTTGCCTGACTTTGCATCTGCTGTCAAAGTACTAGGTAGACAGTCTGTGGCCAGTGTGGTGTAGTAAGATTCTCAGACTAGGATCTCGGAGACCCAGATTCGAATCTCCGGTGTGCCACAGAAGCTTGCTGGGTGACCTTGGGCCAGTCATACTCTCTCAGCCTAACCTACCTCACAGGATTGTTGTGAAGATAAAATGGAAGAATGGTGTAAGCTACTTCAGGTCCCCGTAGGGGAGAGAAATTGAGTATAAAGCAAAATAAATATGTCTCCTGGTGGCTTGAAAACTGGAAACATTACACAAAATGTTTTACACACAAAATCCAGCCAGACAATCCATTTCTGGTCAGGATTTCTGATTTCCACAGGCTTCCTTCGTCCTGCTTTCCTTTTGATTTGGGGGACTGAAGGGGCTTCCTCTGTTGCTCTCTCTTCCTTTGAAACCCTGAATCATCCTGTAAGTTTCCTGTGCTTGGCCAGACACAAGTTAGTATGAAATGACAGTCTGCGTTATTCCCCAATGAAGTCTGGCTAAATTATAAAATATACACAAGCTGATATCACGGGAGGAAAAAGTTTTCAAATAACAGTGATGTACTGAGTGGTGCTTTTGTATTCTAGCCTGATCACAGACTTCCTGCATGACCTTGAAATCATTTCTGATTTTCTGGTTGTGTCTCTAAATTTTTTGCCTACAAGGGATCTGCGAGGCAAAGTCAAGCGTCCAAAGAGCTATGTGTTAGAGTGCACTAAGATAAGGTTTCATTTCTCCCCCCCCCAAAAAAAAAGCCTCACCAAATGAGACCTCAAAAATCCCGCTTTCTTCCTCCTTCACTTGTGTGTTGCTTGTACACACGCAAGTGAGGTAGGAGGGAAACAGGAAAATGAGGCTTTTAAAAGTCTCATTTGATGCTTGTGCACATTTCCAGTGGCTCCTGGCTTCATATTTTAAAGCAGATGTGCATTTGTGATCTTGCAGGCGCAACCTTACAAAGCTGTCCCTGATCTTCAGCCACATGCTAGCAGAACTGAAAGGCATTTTCCCGAGTGGGCTCTTCCAGGGTGACACATTCCGGATCACAAAGGCTGATGCGGCGGAGTTCTGGAGGAAAGCTTTTGGGGAAAAGTAAGTACAGAAATCTTATATGTCCATTCATTCTTTCGTTTATTTAATCTCTATCCAGCCCTTCCCGCATAGAGGCTCAGGGTGGGTTACAACGTACAAAACTCACAACAATCAAAACCAACTCTTGAATATGTATTTCTTTGATCAGTGGTCTTGGACTGTAAATAAACATTGATTGATTGAAACCAACTCTAATACTATAAAATCACCAACCCTTCAAAACAAGATGGCATTCTTGTCCGGGCACGGCATAACAATAGGGAGAAGAGAGGCCAGAGCCTACAATTTCCCTCCCCGGTTATACAGTCCATTGATCGCAGATCCAGAGCAGGCAATTTAGTCCAGTGAGTGACCCAACAATTTACAGCGGATTACGGGAGGAGGGGCCAGATGGTATCTGACGTCCGCTGCCTCACCCAAAAGCCTGGCGGAACAGCTCCGTTTTACAGGTCCCGTGGAACTGTAAAAGATCTCGCAGGGCCCTGATCTCTATTGGGAGCCTTTTCCACCAGGTTGAGGCCAGGGCCGAAAACACCTTGGCCCTGATTGAAGCTAGAAAGATGTCTCTTGAGCTGGGGACTTCCAGTAAGTGCTGGTCTAATGAGCGCAAGGCCCGTCGGAGCACATATGGGGAGAGGCGGTCCCACAGGTATGTTGGTGCCTGGCCACTAAAGGCCTTAAAGGTTAAAACCAACAGCTTGAAACAAATCCGGAATTCTGTCGGCAGCCCAATGCAGTTGACGTAGCACCAGCTGAATGTGCGCCCACAGAGATGTCACAGTCAGCGTGCGTGCTGCCGCATTCTGCACTAGCTACGACTTCCGGATCGGGTACAAGGGTAGGCCCGCGTAGAGTGAGTTACAATAGTCCAGTCTGGAAGTGGCCATTATGTGGCTCACTGTAGCTAAGCTAAGTCACGGGTGGAGAGGTATGGAACCGGTTGCTGCACTTGCCGCAGATGGGGAAAAGCTGACTTGGCAACCACGGTGATCTTCTGCTAGGGATCTGGCAAGTCTTGAGGTGAAGGGCCTTTTCACAGCTGCCGAACATACCTGTCTTACCTGTTCTGACATCAAAGAATGTATGATGGAGTCCTGTGAGTTCCTGAAAGGTTTGTGGGGAATAGAATTGCCAGCACCAGGGACTTCTCTGCTGAAAAAGCTGTTCAAATCACTAAGTGTCAGTTTATACATTAGGTGTCCTGTATCACTGGCATATTGATCCTGGTGCCTGTGTTCTCCCAGCGATGCTGCCTTTGATACCACCTTTTTTTGCAGGACTAGTGCCAGTGTGGCTTTTAGTAGACCCAAAGAGAGTTATCAGTACTGACCAGACTGTCTAGGAATGCAAGGCTATGTTGTGTCTCTAAAGGGGCTTCCCCTTTCACTTTTATTAACAGTTACACTGCATATTATTTACGAAGAACTTCGTCTTAACAGTCAGGAGGCTGTATGCCTTCTGTAGGTCACATTACTGTGGTATCAGCGTTTTGTATTTTCTGTTGCAGTAAGATCGGGGGACATTAATGCATTTCCAGCTTCAGGAAGCTAGACTGTTGTAATAGTAGGAGGTTGTCTCTATAGAGATTAAGTGTAGTTGGAGGCCAGAATCATAAATTCTTCTTATATAGCTTCTGTTATACACTGGAAGTCTATGAAAAGGTACTTGAAAAGTGCTAGTGGTCAAAATGCTTGCTTATGGTTGCCAGACAGCTCCCCCACCACCACCCGTGGAGGCGGGGGTCCCCCACCACCAGCCCCTGCCCCCCAGCCACTGATCAGCTGGCTGGTTGGGGGACTTATCAGTAGAAAGAAGAAGGCCTAGGCCACGTTGCTGGCATTGCACAGGAAGTGCCAACTTCACACCAGCAACTTCCTGGTGACCCTTTAGTATTTGGGCAAAAACTCTATGGTAGAAGCCAGTTTTGCCATAGAGTTTTTGCCCAAGTACCAGAGCATCACCTGGAAATCACTGGCATGATGACTTCACTTCCTGCGTGACGCTGGCAAGCATGGCTTAGGATGTCTTCTTTCTACTGGTAAGTCCCCCATCCCTCGTCGGTTGCCAGGAGGCAACTCTGCTTATACTCCTTACTCAAATCTTGCCCTCCACCAATGGTATTGTTACTGGATGAATGTCTGAAAGCAGTTAATTAGACTTTTTACAATGAGGTTACCCTAGACAGAAGGCCTTGCAGCTTCCTGGTTATTTACTATTCCACAAATAAAGGGGCAGGCACTTGGGGAGGGGCCATAGCTCAGTGGTAGAACATCTGCTTGACATGCAGAAGGTCCCAGGTTCAATCCCTGGCATTTCCAAAGGATCAGGTGAAAAAAAATCTCAGCTTGTGGACCTTTGAGAGCCACTGCCAGTTTAAGTAAACAATACTGGCCGTGATGTAGCAGTGGTCGGTTTCAGCGTCAGGCAGCTTCATGCATTCAGTTTGGGAGCAGATTAATTTGACAGGTTAAAAACTAGCGCTTCTCTTGTCATTTTATGTGAACTGCTCCTTTGAGGCAAAGAAATCTTGTTTTAGGGATGAGCTTAGCTGCCTTTGCCTTTCCTCCTCCCCTCATGGCTGTGAATCCATATGTGCACATAGAACACACTGCGGCAGAAGGTGTTGTTTCTCAGCCACTTGCGCACTGACGGGTGGACTGTTCATTTGTTCCCTACCAGAACCATTGTCCCCTGGAAGATGTTCCGCCAGGCCCTCCACGAAGTGCACCCTATAAGTTCAGGCCTTGAGGCGATGGCGCTAAAATCAACGATTGACTTGACGTGCAATGATTACATTTCTGTGTTTGAATTTGATATCTTTACGCGACTGTTCCAGGTAAGAAGAAAAGAACCGGTGTCGCTTAATGATCAAAATAGCTTCCTTATTCCAGAGTTCTGCATTTTTTTCTTTCTTTCTTTCAAAACAAAAAACGGGGGAAGAAGATCTGGGAGGAATTTATAATCCAGCAACTAAAGAAGTTTTTTTAAAAAAGAAAAGAAAAAACCCCATAAAGACGAGACAAAATTATAGCAACATTGCTGGTGGATCTACACATAAGTTTCTAAAAATATGTCCATACACACTTGCCGTCTATATGCCATGGGTTCAGATGTTGATAGAGGTCTAAGGTCCTCGATCCACTGTTTTACCAGAGGTGGGCTTTTATCTTTCCAGTGCTATAATAATTCTAAACTACTGTTATATGTCAATGTTTTTATTATATGGTAGACTAGTAAGCCTAAGCACACTACGCCAAAACTACCAGCTGTCTCCTCTGGCGTAGACTGCCATCTTCTCCTCTGTTTGTTTGTTTTTTTTAAATACAAGTTTTATTAAAATTTTATGCACTAATCAACAAATCCAATAGGAAAGTCAGAATACAAGTAAAACAGTTTGCAACATTAACAACATGCAATAGTAATAATTTAAAAAACTGTGCATAAGCTTCATAACGTTTGTGTCAGTTATACAGTAACAACTTGTATTTAACATTGCTAAGGGTTTCCCAGTCGAACTCATCTATATTGATTCTGTCTAATAAAGGATACTAAGTATGTAGTGGGCTCATCAAATCGCATTCCGTTTGAGCTTCTGAGTAAAAAGTATTAAAATTTTCTAATAGAAATAGGTCCCAAACCTTATGCACCCAATGTTGTATAGATGGAGGGCTGGGATCTTTCCAATGCTTGGCTATAACTATTTTGGCCGCAGTGAGTAGCGTACCAATCATTTTCAAAGAGGATAAAGGAGGTGAATCAGCGGGCCACAAATTCAATAAGAGCAACAGTGGATCTGGTGGAACTATAATGCCAGTTAAATCTTTAATCTTTTGAATAACAAGAAGCCAGAAATTATTGATAACCGGGCATGAACCACCCAGCAATGAATATAGGACGCTTTTACCCCACATCGTTTCCAGCATAAAGGTTTAATATGCGGAAATATATGTGTTAATTTAGCTGGGGTAAGATACCAACGAGTGAGAACCTTCATATTGGCTTCAAATACATAAAGTGAGTTTGACTGCTTGCAGCCATCTTCTCCTCTGGTAGCCAATTCCTGGTCTGTTGGAAGACCAGAGCAAGGGTGCTGATCTGTTGGTCTGCAATTTTACACTTCCAGAAATAGGAGATGTAAATGCTGACACAAGACCACAGTCCCTTGGGGCTGCCTTAGAGTCGTGCTCTGGTGGTTGAGATTCACCGGGAGTTCAAATCCCAGCTGAATCTTAGCTCCTGGTGGGCAAGCTGGGAATCTTCCAGCCTCTGTTCTGTGGCAGAAGAAGGGACTCTCCCATTGTGCAGGCTTGTGAGTATAAACGAGAGGAAGGGTTGTAACCAGTGTTCCCTCTAAGCTGAGTTAGCGTGAGCTAGCTCACGGTTTTTTAGCCTCCGGCTCACACATTTTTGTCTCAGCTCAGGAAGGACGGCTCCAGAGCAAACTAATTTATGCAGTGGCCAAATTGCTCGCTCACAGCTTTAATGCCAGTAACTCACCAAGTAGAATTTTTGCTCACAAGACTCCACAGCTCAGAGGGAGCATTGGATGTAACCTGCTCTCGGGTTGTGGAGAACTTTGCACCATATTTTTATAATCTCAAGATCCTGCCCATGTTTCTTTGGGAGTCAGGTCAGCTGAACTGTAGTGGGCTACTTCTCAGTAGTGATGCTGGGGGCCTGGTCCCGCGGGATACACAAAAGGAGGCCTAGTCTGAAGATGTCAGGTACATTTCAGTTTTCTCAGTGGGGGTCAGAAGACCAGCTTCCCTGCTGACGACTAGCTACTGATGGTGCTCTTTGTCTTCAGCCCTGGTCCTCTTTGCTCAGGAACTGGAACAGCCTGGCAGTGACTCACCCGGGCTACATGGCATTCTTGACGTACGATGAGGTCAAAGCGCGGCTTCAGAAGTTCATTCACAAACCTGGCAGGTGAGAGAGCGTGAAGGCAGAGAATCCCTTTCTGCCTTGACATATCGTGTACCGTGTGCTGTGTCAAAGGAAGTCGAGTGTAATGGCAGTGTGGCGGTTAATGTTTGTTATGTGTTTAAAAGATTTCTATCTCACCTCTCAGTCAAAAACTTCTCAGGTGGTTTTAGGGTCTTGTCCCTGAAGGTCAATATGACACACCGTTGGAGGGTCACATGACTCCATGAAGCATCCTTATACTGAATCAGGCCATCTGGTCCATCCAGGCCAGTGTTGTCTACTCAGACAGGCAGCGGCTTTCTGCGTGTCAGGCAGATGTTGTTCACATCACCTGCCTGGTCCTCTTTAACGGGAGGTGCCAGGGATTGAACCTGGGACCCTTCTGCATGCCAAACCGATGTTCTGCCACTGAGCCACAGCCCCTCCCCAATACATGAAGTTGCCTGATGCTGAATCAGACCCTTGGTCTGTCGAGGTCAGTTTTGTCCACTCAGTCGGGCAGCCGGGTCTCCAGGGTCTCAAGCAGAGGTGTTTGACATCTTCTACTATGTGAGTCTTTTTAACTGGAGAAGCCAGAGGTTGAGACTGGGACCTTCTGGCTAATTAATAGGAGACAGAGAGTGAGTCTAAATGGGCAGTTTTCACAGTGGAGGGTGGTAAGCAGTGGGGTACCACAGGGATCAGTACTCGGTCTGATGCTTTTTAACTTGTTCATTAAAGATTTGGAGTTGGGAGTAAGCAGTGAAGTGGCTAAATTTGCAGATGACATGAATTTGTTCAGGGTAGTGAGAACCAGGGAGGATTGTGAGGCACTCCAATGGGATCTGTCGAGGATGGGCGAGTGGGCGTCAACGTGGCAAATGGGGTTCAATGTGGCCAAGTGCAAAGTGATGCACATTGGAGCCAAAAGTCCTAACTATAAATATATGTTGATGGGGTCCGAACTGGTGGAGACTGACCAAGAGAGAGATCTTGGAGTCGTGGTAGATAACCCAATGAAAATGTCTAGACAGTGTGCGACTGCAATAAAAAAGGACAACGCTATGCTCGGGATTATTAGGAAGGGAACTGAAAACAAATCAGCCAGTATCATAATGCCCCTGTATAAATAGCATTGGAAAAAGTGCAGTAAAGGGCAACTAGAATGGTAAAAGGGTTGGAACACTTTCCCTATGAAGAAAGGTTAAAATGCTTGGGGCTCTTCAGCTTGGAAAAACGACGGCTGAGGGGTGACATGATTGAGGTTTATACAATTATGCGTGGGATAGAGCAGGTAGAGAAAGAGGTACTTTTCTCCCTTTCTCACAATATAAGAACTTGTGGGCACTCAATGAAATTGCTGAGCAGTTGAGTTAGAACGGATAAAAGGAAGTACTTCTTCACCCAAAGAGTGATTAACACATGGTATTCACTGCCACAGGAGGTGGCAGCGGCTGCAAGCAGGGACAGCTTCAAGAGGGAATTAGATAAGCATATGGAGCAGGAGTCCCTCAGTGGCTATTAGTCACAAGGTATGGATAGGAACTCTCAGTCTGGGGCAAGTGATGCTCTGTATTCTTGGTGCTTGGGGAGTGGGGGCAACACTTTGGGGGGGATCTGGTGTCCCAGCCTCACTGTTGGACCTCCTGTTGGCACCTGGTATTTTTGGCCACTGTGTGACAGAGTGTTGGACTGGTTGGGCCATTGGCCTAATCCAACATTGGCTTCTCTTATATTCTTATGTTCTGTGCCAAGCAGATTCTCTACCACTTAGCCACGGCCCCTCCCCTTTTGTAATGTGAGTATACAGAGACCTCAGGCATCTGTACTGCAGTAAGGGTGGTCAGTCACGGCTGCCCCCACTTTCTCCTGGTGACCCAGGGTCGAGATTGAGGGGATGGAAGAAGAAACAAGTGCACATTCTCAATAGTGCTCTTGTCTTGTTGTTTAGGGGCAGTTTTCGCTCCCCCCAGTAGTGAGTGTGGCAGACAGCGAGGCTGGTTTGCGCTCAAGATGTGCTGCATAATAAGGGCTTATTTTGCAGCTTGCAATGTCTAGTCCAGAGTTTCCGGTGTGTCAGGTCATTTCTTGTTTGTCAGCAAGCCTTCCCTCTACATTTCAGATCACAAAGGTGGGTGGGGATTCGATAGAAAGAGACACGTGTGCCTGGGAGCCAAGGGAAAAAAATGTCCTTGTTCCAAGGGGAAGTGTCAGACTGTGGCAAAACTAGAGCGTGTGTCGGCTGTGTCTCCCAGCCCTAGAATGAGAGTTTACTGCCTTCTTTTGGGTCTTCGGCCTTCCCTACAGAAGTCTCATATAATCCAAAGCTAAGAGTCCAGTGGTGCCTTTAAGACCAACAAAGTTTTATTCAAGGTATGAGCTTTTGAAAAAGTGTGCGTGTGCACACGAAAGCTCATACCCTTGAATAAAACTTTGTTGGTCTTAAAGGTGCCACTGAACTCTAATAAATTTGTTCTACTGCTTCAGACCAACATGGCTAACCACCTGGATCTATAACCCAAAGCTGATGTCTAACATCAAAGAAGTGAAGAGCACCTTTGCGGTGATGAATGAGTCTAAATTTCCTCTTAGGTGCAGCTTACAGCTGTTTGAATTCCTTCTGTCTAGCTGTGGGTCATCTCCTTTGATCTGTAGAAACTGATGTGCCAAGCTTGAAGATTTACTTATTTTATTCTTTTGAAAGAAAAGGTTGCAGCATCCATTGGAAATTTGGCAAGTAGCAAAATCTGCATTGAAATCTGTGTCCCTTTTGTTTGCAGTTACATTTTCCGGCTGAGCTGTACACGGCTGGGTCAGTGGGCGATCGGTTACGTCACTGCCGATGGAAACATCCTTCAGACAATCCCCCACAACAAACCCCTCTTTCAAGCACTGATTGACGGCTTCAGGGAAGGCTTGTAAGTGGCTCCTCTGCACTGTTTGTAGGGATTACTGCCCATTCTGACAGTCGGTGCTCTTCAGACGCAGTCTTGCATTGTCACTGTCACGGCTCAGGTAGGGTGTCACCTGATGCTGCCACCACTCTGGATTTAGGATCCCTTGAAAAGGCCCAGAGGACCCTCCCAAACCTTTAGACCTCCCTTTTGGCCAAATAATAGGTGTGAGGACCAGGCAGAGTAAACAACAAGGAAAAGGTTTATTTTATAGGAGGTCAAACAAACAAGGTGCAGGAATAATAGCAGTAAGTAGGTGAAAAGAAAAGAAATCAAATGCCCTAACGCGTCTAAATATATACTGTCCCTAGCTCACTATCTCAAGTGGCCTTAGACTACTCCCCCTTCCCTCAGGATGAGGGTTTCTTCCACACAGAAGCCTCTTTCTTCTGGCCCTGTTTCCTGGGAAGAAGAACAGCTTTTCCTCTTGTACCAGTTCTTTTATTCCCCAGCCCTCTTCTTCTCTATTGGTCAAAATTGGTGCCAAAACTTCCCAAGGCCTTCTGGGGTTTGTAGGCCCAGCCTCCCCTACTGCTAGCCAGACTCCCTGGGCCTAGTAGGCCTCTGGTGGCACAGCCCAAATCATGACACCCCCCCACCAGACCAAATCATGGGGTCCTGCTCCGGATCCCCATTGATGCAGTCTGCACATGGGATTTTGGCTGTGGTTTGCCCTCTTTTAACTCACTTAACATTAACATATAAAAACTGTAAAACAGTATTCTGATCAACATTAAAGAGAATACAATATCAGGTTAATGCATTGCAGGTCCTCCTGGGTCAAAACTCTTCTCTAATGTCTTATCATCAGCTTTCGCTGGGAGTAAGTTCTGAATTGGATCTTAACCACGCCATTGAGTTCAGAGGTTTTGGACCTTCTGCTTTTGTGTTGGCTTCAGATGGATGCTTGGCTACTATATCCTGTAACACATACAGTGCTCTTTGTCTCAAATAGTCTGAATTTAGCCTCTGAAGTTCATGAAAAAGCTCACTTAGAACATGAGGGTGAAACTCGTTTTTAGATATCAGTGTAGCTACTTCAGAATAAATGGTGTCTCTCAAAGCTTCAAACATAGAAAGATCACTGCCTGTTTCTGGTTTGAATGTTTTTGTCACAGTAGTAGGATCCACTGGATCTGGCATGTTATTAAAGCTCTCCAGAGAGTCTTCATCAAATTCTCTTCTCCTGCTGGTGTCAGGTGGACTTTTGTCACTAAAAGGTGGAAGAGTAGAGATGTATCCAGCATTCTGGTGGCAACACAGCAGTGGTGACTTTTCCTTGCCCTGGATTTGCTGGGCTGTCTTCATTCAGTAGCCACCCCATAGGAGTTACAAGGCAAGAGAGGAGCAGAGAGGGTTTGCCATTGTATTCCTCTGGGCTGCTGAGGCTGCTATGTACCTGCCAAACACTGAAGCTTTATACATATCTGTAAGCATATCTGGTCTAAGGACTGTAATAGAAATAAACTGAAACACCTAAGCTTGTAAAATGCTCAGTTCCGACCTTAAGCACGTGCATAATTGTTTTGAGAGAGGGCCTATCATTTAGACTACTCTCGAACTCCTTAAATACATACCGGGCTCAGCTTGTCATTTCAGTTTAGGCTGTCTCGTCATGCCACGGACAGCAGAGTTGTAACGCACACACTTCTGGGGGTGAAAGTGTCCCAGTGTGATTGGCCAGGAGAGGGGTTTAAGGCGGAGAGTGTGTCTGTTTCCAGCATATTTGTGCAAAAGCTTGTCTCGTGGTTCGCCAGCTGCTATTTTAAGCACTCTGGGTTTTGCGAGTGTCCCCTTGATAAGAAGGTTCCTCTTTCAAATGAAACTCCCCACCCCCACCCCCAGTAGCCAGTCTTTCCCAGCTGAGATGAGGTGCTATGATTGTGCCATACCCAGCTGGTTTTGCTATGGAGGGGGGCGGGGGTTAACTTTTCTGGTTGAATTGAATTGTCTTGTCTTCTTCTTTGTAGCTACTTATATCCTGATGGGCGAAATCAGAACCCTGACTTGACTGGTCTCTGTGAACCCACACCTCAGGATCACATTAAAGTTACACAGGTGAGAGGAGAATTCTATCCCCCTTCCTTCCTTCCTTCCTTCCTTCCTTCCTTCCTTCCTTCCCTCCCTCCCTCCTTCCTTCCTTCCTTCCTTCCCTCCCTCCTTCCTCCCTCCCTCCCTCCCTCCCTCCCTGTGCCTGTCTTTTTCTTTTTCTTTCTCTCTCTCTCTCTTTCCCCCCTCCCCCAGCATGGCTTTGGTTCTATGGCATACAAGCTTTTAAAGGTCCTTTGGGTCATGCAAAATATGAATTTGGGGAAGACAAACTGGCCGTGAAGCAGCACGAAGGCTCTTCAGAGCATTGGGATTGCCATGATCGCTTGGGGCACTGGCTTCCTTTCCTCCTTCCTCCTTTCGGGTGGTCAGCCGCTTAAAAATAGTCCGCTGCCAGCCCTGAAGCCGGGCTTCTAAAAGCTGCCCAGGTGCGCCAGTCTTCTTGCAGATCGGGAAACATCTTGATTCCACTGTCTGTTATCTTCTGCCCTTACCTTTAGGAGCAATACGAACTGTACTGTGAGATGGGCTCCACCTTCCAGCTCTGTAAAATCTGCGCCGAAAACGACAAGGATGTGAAGATCGAACCCTGCGGCCACCTCATGTGCACTTCCTGTCTCACAGCGTGGCAGGTGAGGAACCTGTGCCCTCTGCAGCCTCTCTGCCAGCCCCTGTTTGTGCTCGCTGTGTTTTGACAGAGCGGCTGCTTGCTCCACAGGAAAGTCTGGGTGGGGTGGGGTTCGGGCACGTGGCGTCCAGTGCACAAATCAGCAGCCTCATGTAGCTGTACATCTGCACAGGCTAATCTGCCCTGTGCCTTGAATTTTTGCATCAGTGTTGGTGTGAACAACTCTTGAGTCTCAGCTGAATAAGGCCTGGTAGCTGCTGTATAATGTCTCTGTCTGGATGAAGTGGGATGCACACGTGTAAGGGGAGCGCATGCCATAGTCTGTCACTCCTTTTTCTCTTGTGCAGGCACAGGGTTACAAATTGTCTGGGGCAGCGGTCCCCGGCCTTTTTGGGCCTGCAGGCACATTTGTAATTCTGATGGGGCATGGTGGGGCAGCCACAAAATGACTGCCACAAAACGGCTGCTGCAGGAGGCACAGCCAGCCACAAAACGAATGCAACAGCTTAACTTCAGTCACTCGGTGTGCAGATCCTTGGGTTGTGGTGGCAGCTGCTGCCAGAGCAGCATTTAAAAAAATCTGCCCAGTCAAATCTCCAGCCAGTTTGGTGTCGTGGTTAAGTGCGCAGACTCTAATCTGGGAAAGCCGGGTTTGATTCCCCACTCCTCCACTCGCAGCTGCTGGATGACCTTGGGCAAGCTATAGTTCTGTCAGAGCTGCTCTTGAAAAAGAGCCGTTTCTGTCAGAGCTCTCTCAGCCCTGCCTACCTCTCAGGGGGTCTGTTGTCGGGAGGGGAAGGGAAAGGGGTTTGTAAGCAGCTCTGAGACTCCCAAGTGAAGGGCGGGGCATAAAGCCAATCTCTTCTTCAGTACTCAGTCAGAAGCCTTGCTGGGCATCCTATGCGGCTCTTCCGCTTCCTAAAAACACTTGGCAGGCACCAGGAAAGTTGTCTGTGGGCGCCATATCAGGGACTCCTGGTCTGGTACTACAGCAAATTATAATTTGGACGGCCATACTGCAGTTGTGTGGGAATGTAGTGTGCCAGTTTGGTGTAGTGGTTAAGTGTGCAGACTCTAATCTGGGAGAACCAGGTTTGATTCCCCACTCCTCCACTTGCACCTGCTGATGTGACCTTGGGTCAGTTGCAAGCTCTGGCACAGCTGTCCTTGAAAAAGAGCAGTTTGTATCAGAGTTCTCTCAGCCCCACCCACCCCACAGGGTGTCTGTTGTGGGGAGGGGAAGGGAAAGGAGTTTGTAAGCCGCTCTGAGACACCTTTGGGTAGTGAACGGCGGGGTATAAATCCAATCTCCTCCTCTTCTTCTTCTCTCTGGTATTGAGATGCTCTTGCTGTGAAAATTTCCCGTGCTGGTTATGAGTCTCCCCTTTC